AGGGTGGGCGTGGCGGTAAGGGTGGGCGAGACGGATAGGGACGGCATGACGGAAAAGGTGGGCGTGGTACAGGAAGGTAAAATGTAAAGGCGGGGAGGGAATACGTTGGTCATTCGAGGAGGAAAGGGACGGGGCGAGCAGTGCGTAAAAGAGTCCTTACCCGCGCTTCGCCGGGTAATGGTGTAATTGTTAGTACTATAGCAGCATCAACAATGTTGAGATTGTCGCCTACAAATATTCAACAATACACACATTATTGTGAATACTCCGTATGCCAGGTGCAGGTCGAGCTGAACCTGTAGAACGGAAGACGTAAGGCATACGTCCGCTAAATCAATTTTTAATTACGTTGGCGGCCACTGCACAACATGGCTCACTGTGGAAAAAGTTGAACACTTGTAGTGGTGCTACAACGTAGCGGAGCTTCAACAGCACCTACTTCGTCGCATTATTTGTTATCTTTTGCATTTCAGAACCTTTGAAAACTCAGAAAGTTTAACAAAAATAGGACTTACACTATATTATAACCATGCTTCGCACTATCTCAGCAGAAAATATAAAGACAAAATACTGAGCGCCCGATCTCCATGAAAGTCGTGTTTTATCACCCAGAAGGTTTATGTGCTGTTAGTTTTGTTGTAACTTCAATAGATGGCGCTGCAGGACAAACTTTTGCTTCATTTTAATCATTTCCACCCTTCAAATTCCATTCAAACTAGGCTCCACCTGAACTTCATTGTTGCTGACCTTGTCATGTGTCGCAGGACGAGGCCCAGGAGAACCGGGTGTGCGAGAGAGACAAAGAGAGACGTAGAACAACGGAAGGATGCAGAGAGTGACGGATACACACAGAGAGATGGCGCGTGTAAGAGAGAGAGAGAGTGACGCATAGACAGAGACAGAAAGAGTCAGAGAGAGACAGTGAGAGATAGAGCCAGAAACAGAGACACCGATACAGAGAGAGATGTATACTGAGAGAGAGTCAAGAGAGAGACACAGATAAGGACAGGGACAGCGAAAGGTACAGGCAGAGACAGACATACAGAGACATAGAAATAGAGTCAGACAGGCTGAGACAGAGAGTTCCAATTTTGTCTCTGATTTGGATTTGTGTTAATGTGTTATAGGAATTGTTGTAATTAATGTGTTATAGGAATAAAATTTACTATATATATTGTAACGAAAATTGCATCATCTGCCGGAATTCGCTGCGCGGATTGCGTCATCTGCCGGCGCCCCCCCCCCAAATGGAGGGGCCCGGGTTATTCGCGAGTCACGAAAAGGTGCGGCGCAAGTTCCAGATGGGTCGAGACGGGCGCCAGCCAGATATAAATTCGCCGCTGCCGGCGGCCGCGAGTCAGTCAGTAAGCTGCCGAGTCAGTGTATGTAGTAGGTGAACAGCAGTCTGAAGTGGAAGCTGAACTGTTAAGTGTGCACTGCGGTGAACAGCAGCCTGAAGTCGAAAGCTGAGCTGTGAAGTGTGCATCGCGGTGAACAGTAATGTTGTGCATCCTGATCAGCGCCGTGAATTGTGGTCTGCGCAGTGGGCTGTAGACAGTGCATTGGACTGTGCAATAGTGCAGAAGAAGTGAACAGTGTAAACAAATAATGAAGATAACAGAGTCGTGTGTAATGAAATAATCCCCATCTCTTTCTGAGCATGAAAATAGGGCGGGGGATTTAAATGCGCGCCTCTTGTGTCGCGCTCACAGCAGCAAACTACGCGTTCTTTAGAAGGCAATATTAAAAATACTAGGAATCCTTTTGACAGAATGATTGTTAAGTGGGCGCGTCAACTGTTAAGGTCATTAGTCCCGTAAGTGTAGTGCATTTTTGTGGCGGCAATGGCGATCTTCCCCCCCCCCATTCGATAGCGTGATCCGGCGCCGACCTACCGTAGGCTAGCGGAGTTTTCCCCACACAGCGGGGCATCGCCTTAACTAGGACAAGCTCTACGTTCTCGACTGATCTCCTGGTATTTGTGGTAGTGTAGTGTGTGTATGTAAATAAGGCGTGAGGATAGAACGAAGCGGAAGCAAAGATCGCGTGCGGTCCATGGGCCTTTTGCTTGGGCACTGCTCCAACATTCGCCTGGCATTGACGGAGAAACCACGGAAAAGTACCGATCAGAGCAACTGGTCGCTAGAATTCTCCTCCAGACAGCGACTGAACTCGACCTAGCTATTTAGCTAGTCGAAAATCCTGCCACCGTCTGCACTCAAACCTAGGATTTCTCTTGCTCTGAGCTACCTGTTTCGGTAGGAATTCTTTTGACTTTTAGAACAATTACTCGAAATTACTTCTATTTACTTCAACAAAGATCTTAACGAACGATCGATTGTCTCATTATAGGCAGGAATGCCTTTCCGAACGTGGTATACACCTGGTTTACCTTGGCCCTGCACTTCTTTTCCATCAGCCAAGAAATAGCTCATTATGAAAATTACACTGCGCGCGCGTAATGAGATTATACTTCGCGTTGAAGTCACATACGGGATGTCACTCCCAATTGCACATTTTCAAGAAATATGGATAAAGTTTGTTGAAAAAACGCAAGTAAGCATCACCGTTTAGACGTAGCAGTGAAAAAGGTCCAACTAAAACAATTCCGACAACAGCCCAATCGATAACAGAAATTCTCGCCTGAAAACTGCGCATGTGCGTTCGCCTCAACCGAGAAGTGGTGGTTGTGACTGTCGAACAGCCCTTCGCGTGTAAATATGACCTCGCCTGAAAATACAACCAGGCTTACGAATTCGGAATTGTTCATCTATAGCTCGAGAAACCATTGGCTGATTTGTGTTCGGATCAATAGAGGTCACAGCAGTGTGTCAGTCCGGGAGGTCCTCGGTTCGAGTCCCAACGACGGGAAGATTTTCGACACTGGCTTGAGAGCTAGGTCGAATTCAGTCGATGTCTGGAGAATTCGTGCGGGGGGCTGCTCTGATCGGCAGTTTTCCGTAGTTTCTCCGATTAATACCAAGCAAATGACAAGGCAGTACCCTAACAAACGGGCAACGGACCGCACGCGATCTTCCATTCCTCTTATCTCATCTTCACCCTTATTTACATTCTTACACGTAATACACTAACATACATACTGGGAAACCGGCCGGAATGTTAGAGTTTGTGCCAGCTGGGGCGGTGACCCGCTGCTGGGAGATGTGGGGAATCCCCGTCAGCCGACGGTCAGTCGGCGCCGAATCTCACCAGTCGGCGAGGGAAGTTCACCGTCACCTCCCGCGATAGAGCACGAATTAAACTCACAGGAATAACGCTCTTGGCAGTTGACGCGCCCCGAATCACTAATCAATCAATTTGGCGAGGTTCATCGCCACAGCAAAAGCACTGCACACAAGGATACTTTTGAAAGGATTATAATATTTGCTAGAGTGCAACGGTCTCTAGACAAGACACCTTGAACGTCTTGAGTATTGTCCTAGATTTTACTTGAAGTCGCGCATTCACAAGCTCCCCCAAAAAAGTATTTTCGAATTGTGTGGGGTCATTTCGTGTCTTCCTAACATTTGAAGGACCTATATTGCAGTTTCTCTAGCCTGGCGAAAAACTGCACGAAACAGTCTTACTTTGCGCAATTGGTTAACTCAATGGTGCTCCGCATCGTTTCCTTACTTCATGGCAATTTTGTGAAGCTTCCCCGTCCATGAGCATGGCAAAAAAATTAGCATAAAATGTGATCCTAAAAAGCCGTAAATAATCTACCATGTAGTACAATGTAAATTACAGTAGTATGCACGAGTCTAGATCTTAGAACTGTAGAACAATGAGACACAAAAATCGACCTTGACAAGAGTAACAAACCTATGAGGGGAAAAAAAAAAACCACCAACAACAACAACAGCACTCCATCAAAACTCATTTAATAACACTGAGTTAATTGAGATGGAACAATTTTGAGCAAGTCTCCTTTTTAGGGTCCGAAGTCAACAGGAACATTTTCCCCTTGTTCTGAACACAATGGGATGGTAGACAGGCTGATGGCAACTGCGTTGGGTCACATGCTTTCAATTCCACACCCTCAATGTCCTTCCTCTCACAAGGAAGATATCACGTAACGGAATAAAAATACCCATATTGGCATGGGGCCCCTTCGTACATTCAATCCTGCTACATCCTACACTAATTACACAGTGTAAAATAATCAATTTCCAAGTTTTACATCACGTTGCGATGAAGAAATTGCAAACCTTTCAAATATTGTCAGGTTTTGTAGTCTTAGTTTGGCTTTCATTATTTCCATGCCGAATGTTCACTAGTTGAGCTCCTATCTCCACTTCTCGAATAAAATTCTGGCTTTTGCTACTGGCTGAACCCAAATGTTACGTACTTAAGGTTTTGGAAGATATTCATCTGGCTCTCAATATAACTGGTGACAATTTAAAGAATACAGTGGTAAAAAAAGAAATCAAATTCACAACAATAGTTTTAAATAGCACTTTTGGAATAATGTCAAAGTTTGATAAAAACTGAACCACTTAACCTCCTTACATAAGGAGTAATCTTCCTGCATATTCTGGTCTTCCAATATTGTGAAACAGACTGTGGTGGAGTAATCATTACTTTTTGTTATGGTGGAGTAATTTTAATGGAGTGAACAGAAATCAAGACCCTCAAATATAGGCTTTAAGAAACAAATCTTCCAACTATACAAGATTCAGTGCTAAAAGTGCACAAGAATGGAATTTAAAACACTGCAGAAAATACCTAAAGCCTGTACACCCTAGATGCTAAGGAGGAGGTGAAGTGACAAGCGTAAATGTGATGTATTTAAAAATAACCGAGCACATTGTCCGGGTAGTCAAAACTTCAGAGCCAAAGGAGGTTCTGGAATTTCATAAAGAAACTCTACAATAGGGTACTATACAAAAAAGCAGCAAACAGAAGAATAATGTTATAAGGTTTTAAGCTTTTAATATTCAATGGTCCAAACTGAATGACAAAGTGAGATGTCATATCAGCAAAATATAGAAAAATAAATACAAAACAACTCCTCTCCCCTTCAAAACAAACCAGTGGATAAAAACTTCTGTGAGCATTAACTATTTCAAGTAAACAAATGAAATTATAATTTCTTTGAATTGATCTTGTAATATATTGATCGTGCATAACAATTCATAAATTAAATCAATGCATTCAGAATTATGAACTTACGAATGAATGTGAATACTCTTCATTAAAGCTTTCAAATATATTAGTGGCCTGCAGCAAAAAAACAACAAAATGGTTTCCAAAACACATTTGCTTCAGAACAAATAAAATGCTCTCATAAATCACTGCAATAAATTAAAAATTTTAACAGAAACAGTCTTGAAGAATACTGTAATAACATAATGTAGTGTATACGGATACACAGTACAATAGTACTTTATATATCGATATCAAAAAACTTTGCTGTTCCATAATGCAACACATGGGAATGGAAAATTTTTAATGTTGGGCAGTATCTTCTTTGGAACCTAGCTGTCACAAAGTCATTGTGCCATAAGCAATGATGCACTGTGTATACAGTAGATTTGCACAGTATTGGCTTAGGTGGAAAAACACTTGCATATTTACGCTTTTCAGACAAAATTAAAACTCATTCATTGTTTTTGGATTTTTCCAGGATTTCTGGGGACCTCAGGAAACCACACAAATCTCTCTCACGGCTGGAGGCTTCACAGTTTTCTTTCAATCTCTCTGCAGGTTAGAAATAATGATTGAAGGAATTGAAATGGTAGTTTGCCGGTAAGACATACAAAATTTTAAAAATGAGTTTTTTCACAGCCAATATTTTCTGAATGTTACTGATGGACAAAAAAAGGTTTTTCTGTCGACGAAAGTTTATTTGTGATCTTAAAAATTGCCTAGTTTATGCAAGTTCATTAAATTTTAAACTCATTTAATACATAACCAAAAATACTTAAATATTTTAAGTAACAAATTTGTTCAATTTGCATTAATAAACTAAATTAAATGTATAGGAATGTAACAAAAAATATATTTCTTAACACAATATTTCTTCAAAATTTTTTTGTCATTCTTTTATAAATGTTCCGCATATTTACAATTATATTTTAACTTGTTTAAACCTTTATGTTACGCATAGATGAAGTAAGTTTATTCATTTTTATAAACAGGCAAGTAATCCTAAAAACAATGGGTGTCAGTTCCAATAACCAAAATTTAAAGGTCTCACAATTTATTGATGTTCTTGTGTTATTTATATAACACTTTTACATGATTGTATTTCAATACCAAATACCATAAAATTCCGAGATTTTAATCTTCAAGGAAGAAATATTGTCCCGCACGTTTTTGTTCTGTATCCTGGAATGTGACAAGAATAATTATAAAAACAACATATTCATTTCAATATTATTTTACACAATATTTAGCATGTTAATTTTCACTCCAGAAACCTTGCAACCCGTTAAAAAGAGGAAAACTGACAAGGTAACTAACAGAAAACTTAAATTCAATAAGAAAATAATAGTTCAATAAAAACATGCATGATGAACATACCTTCACTGAATTATTTTTATTTATCCTAGGTCGGAAATTATTGGGATCACGTCGGAAAGTTATTCCCAAAAGTTCCAAAAACCTATTCATGCCAGCCAAAAGATTTTGTGGTGTATGAGCTGTTGTATCAACAGATGGTGAACCTTCGAATACAATGACACGGTCAGCTAAGTAAGTAGCCATAATGAAGTCGTGCTCTACAACAAATCCAGTCTTCTTGGCATGCAAAATGAATCTGTAACAATTAAAATGTTTCACAATACATCAAACAATTCAATATATTCACTTCTAAGAACTTAAATAGTTAAAAACTCATTTTTTAAAACTAAAAGCCTTGCATTAGATAAGAACCTACAATTCATTCTTATAGAAAATGTTTAAACTTTATGTGTTACTCTTTCAAGCATTTTCAGACATATAAGTTGGAGGGGAAAAATCAATTCATATCCATGTAAACTGACAAATTTGAAATATGGCAAACCTTTTTATAACTTTTGCTGCTACTAAACGCTGTTCAGAGTCCAAATAGGCAGATGGCTCATCAATCAAGTAAACATCGGCAGGCTTTCCTAAACACAAAGCCAAAGCTACACGTTGAAGTTCTCCTCCAGATAAATTCTGTACTTCTTGATCCATGATGTCATCCATTTTCAAAGGTTTCATAACATCTGTAACAAACTAATAATATATGGTGGTTAAATAATGACAATTCATGTAAATATTCCACATCAAATTGCACAAATTTAAAGAAAACTTGACCATGGTGTCCCACATTTTAAAACTTTTTACTAAGAAGAGCATAAGCAAAAATATGAAACACACGTTTTTAATTTTAAGACAGTTTTCAAAAAAATACTAATTTTTGAATTCTTTTAAAAGACATTCACATCAGTAAAATTGATCTTTTGTAACTGTTGTAATTGAGATAGAAATTTAATATTTTACATGATTAAAGACCAAAAGATGTTTTTTATGACTTATGTGTTGTAAGAGCACTGCAAGAAAGAACTGATTTTTAAAATAATAAAAACAGCACCCTAGAAGTAGGAAATAGTGAAGTGGGAAATTTTAATAGGGAAAGCCTCCACAGCTAGCAAAGCTGGAATAAGGAGCTAAGGAGGAAAAATGAGCAAAAATCCCTGCACCTAATTATGGCTTACGTCTAACCAAGGAAATGGCCCTTAGGACAAAAGGGACGAATGCAGCTGTTATGTCAATCGTTGGGAAGCAATAGTGACCTTGCACTGAGACTAGGTGTATATACCATTCAAGAAATATATGCTGGTTAACACTATAATAATCTTGATTGAGAAATGTTATGAGGTTACACAGAAAAAGGTGAATTTAATTTGTGTTGAGCTTCAGACACTCAGAAAAAGCAATTATTTTTCAATGTTTTATTACATTGTACCATAGAGGAACTCAAAGTAGATGAAATATTAATTCAATGCATACTCTGAATTGCATCTTCAAGAACTAAAGAGTACTTTTGTAAAAAATATCCAGGGCAATGGTAACTCCTAATATCAAATTTCATTTTGTCTGGTTTAGGTACTAAGCTTTTAATGTTATAAGATAGACAGTAGGATATCTGAATTCAACTATGTTTTTGCTAGAAATTAATTCATTAGTGATTGCATTACTTTAAGTTTGATGGTCAAACAGTAACCTGATTTTTGTAATTAATCTGTTCTACCATTTCTGATGGAAGTAATCTTTGTACCCACAGTAAAATGAGATGTTCCAGGACACAGAATATTTTTTACATAACAGGCTGGTACAATCTATCAATTTTTTTGCATCATTCTGTATCAATCTTTGTAACAGAGAAATCGTGTTTTCTTACATGCTAAATTCTTTCATCCATTTGTATTTTCAATTGTTTTTAGGAAAAGAATGGAAATATTGTTTCAATTTTTTCAAAAAACCTGTTGACCATCTGACTTTCTTTATGACATAGCTGCAGCCTCTTGTACACAAAATACCTTCTCTTTTAGTTTTATTTTGATTATCTCATTCTGCTGAGGATGCTGTTTCTGTTTTAGCTTCTTTTGCTAATCGACATTTCTCCAAGAGACATCAAACTCATGATTAGTCTTGATCTTCTATTTTCTATATGATGCTGCCAGGAATAGAAGACAAACTAACCTGGACCATTCCTTTATTATCAGGTGATACATTAAAGTGAGCAATTCCCCACAAGGACCAACTGTGAATTTTGTTCCCATCACTCTCACTGCTCGATATACTTGTATCATTCACAAGATTGGACGATTCTCACTTTTTTGGGAAAACTTCTGTACATGCAACTTCTTCGGTATATAAGAAAGAAGAAAGCACTATGTTTCACTTGTTTACTCATAAACACAAGAGTAGAGTTTCGTAGAACCTTTCCATTTGCGTCCATATGCCTGGCAAGCTTCATATTTGAACTTCATATCATTGACGCCCCATGGTGGGAGCAACCAGTCAAGCCTTTAGATTGGTGGGGCCTACAGGCTCCGGCCAATAAACCATTTTTTCAAATGTTATTTCTTTGTGACCATCTTTTGAAATTTGGCAGAAAGATGCATGATTAGTGTTGAATTACACAATTGTTCTTTAAATTAATTAAAGTGCCAACCTCATCTGAAAATTGTCATTTAAAATTTAAAGCTGTTCTAAGTACCTAAATATGATTACAAAAATTAGGCAGCTCATATGAAAGTACATCTCTCACAGTTTAATTTAAATGCAGTTGTATTTTTTTTTATAGAAAAAGAAAAATGCATAAACAAAACATTGAACATTTGTGCACATTCAATTCTTCCAAGGAAATAACTAATGTAGTAACATTTCTGAAAAAAAGTGGACTTAAAGCAAAAAATTGTGTCAAGTATTTTCAACCCTACCTCATTAAAATTTTTAAGTTGCTAAAAAAATATTGTTTATTAGTATGCGATTCAGCATGGAATGACTCATTTTAACTCTTGATATACTAAAATGTCTCTCTCTACATATACTGAAACCCATTGTGAGCAATATAAACTCAACCATTCCAATAGGGAATGGTTGGATTCTAACCCAGATGAAAAGGTTCTGTCACAGTGGTTGCGGTAGCATGCTCAATATGCTGCAATAATGATCCTTCATCTCTACATGGCATCCCCTTGTGCAGAGAAACCTTTGCTGCATCCCACGTAAGGACACACTCAAAAAGAAGTGTCAGGAGGTGCCAAGATGGCACTCTACATTGAAGTGTTAAGTTGCGAGCTTTAAATCATGTAAATAAACAAACTTAGGTTCCATGTGAAAGTGTAAACTTCCTCTTGATTTCAACCATCAATGATTGTTTTTTATAACCAATAAATACACTTAAGTATTGAATTAAAATATAACCCATAATTTTATCCTCAACTTTTCACGATTGTTTATAATGAATAATCACATTGCCATGAAAATGGAGCTCAGATGGCTACGGAAATAAAGTCTGATTCATTGACCTCCCATTGATTGAATTATTTAAAAAAATATACTTCCTTCACTTTGTTTCATTTTTTGCATGAGATATTCCTCCTAATTTGAAGATAAAATTAGAAAATAAACAAAAAATTACGTATGATCCAAACATACATTATTTCTTGTTTCAAATATTACATCTATTGGGTTAACATAAAAGGAAACATTGTTGAAATGACATAGACATCCAATTGGTCACACTGGACACGTATAGCATTTTCATTCGCAACACTAGTGCGCACTAAGGGCAGCATGTGTGTTCCATTTGACCGCTAGAGCACACAGGGGCGAAGATTTGCATGTTCCATTCATACAATGACACGGAACCAAATGCACACTCAGTGTTCCCTAACCTGCACTGTGGCGCTTGTCAGTGCAGTTCACTGCACTGGGCCGTTTTGAAGCCAGGTACGGAATTTGTGAATTTTGATTTAGGTTCGTGGTGAAAATGTGAAGGCAATTGAGGATCTTCTGTCAGATACATACACTTCAAATGGTGGGAGTATTTTATGTTTTACAAGAAATGTCAAAATTAAAATATTTTTTGTGACTTACGTGAAGTTAAAAAATCAGTGTATTCTTAAAATTCAACTTTGAATAACTTCATATTAACAAATCCAGTATAGGCATGTCTCAACTTCGAAATGCTAATAAAGTAAAAAATAAAAATAGTGACTAACGCTCTTACAACATCATTCAAAAATGTGCCAAAAAATGTTTCTCACACATTTATACATAAGCAAGCGGAAATGCTCTTGTTCATGTTTCTATGATTTTCAACAACCAAATAATTCCGCAGAAGCCTTGTGGTTCAAAATCGTGTATACTATTAATTACAGATAAATAATGGCTGTCACAATGGAACATGCGGTGCACACGCACTGATTCAGTTCTGGAATCTGTTTCATTTGTAACTGCCTTTCACGCATGTATGGCAACACTGTTACAAAGCAATGACGTTTTTGCCTTGCACTAGGGTGGGTTTCAGTACAACAAACAATGCTAATAGTCAAAGGTGTTTAATATTGTGCAAAATAAAGATGAACAGACATTTATATATCAACTTCAATTTTCTTTTTCAAAAAACAGAATTTGACATATTCATTGTTGCTGTTAAATTGTTTACTTAAATATTTCTCAAAAGTCAAGTTGAATGACATCCCAATTCCATTAAAATATTAAAAATAAAAAATTATCAGAAATGAAAGACTCACCTGAGGATGGACATAAGCATCTCTAATCTTCTCATGAAGCAGCTGACGAACTATGCCTTGCGATTTGGGACTAATTTTTTGAGGCTTGTAACTAATGTTTAATTGAGGTATAGTTGCTGGAACAAAAGCAAAGAAAAACTGTCATATCCCCTGCAACATCCATGTGTGATAAGTGTGTATGTGATGTGATGAGAATGTGTCTGTACATGTTGGTTGTGTTTATGTTGGGTATGTATTAATATGGATAGTGATGTTAATATGAGGATGTGTGTATATGTGGGAAGTATGATCCTGCGAGGTGTGTGGACAGAAGGGGTTTATGTGCTCAAGTGGAATGTGTGCACGAGAAGGATATGTGAGCACAAGTGGGATAAGTGGATGTGTGTGCAGGAGTGGGATGTGAGAGAGAAGTGGTAGGCATGTGCAAGAGTGGGATGTATGCACCAAAGGGGTGTGTGAATGAGGTGGGTGTACACACAAACAGGATGATTGGATGATTTGGGTGTGTTGGTGCTTGTGGGGCATGGGGTGTGCTAGTGTGTGTGTGTGGGGGAGGGAGTCAACTTGCAGGTGTGCACTTGGGTGAGTTAGGTGTATGTGTATGTGGGGTGTGCATGCACATTTGGGGTGTATATGCATATGCAGGAAAAGTGTGTGTGCTCAATGTATGTGCAATGCGGAGGGAGTGAGTGTGCAGAAGCATGTACATATCAGCAAATGTGCTCATGTTTTTGCAGAATATCCAGAACCAGTACTCCACTTAAAAATAGTAATAACAAAAAAACACCAAAAAAATTTGGTCTATCCTCTCACAATCACCCAAAGTTATGCTGAGGAATTCCCAGTGTTAAGGGCATATATACACCAAAAAACAATCTGCTTTGGCAGCTTGCATCTGATCATTTCAACAATGACTCTTTTGAATAAACATTTATGACACATTACAACACACTTCGTAAAAGATTCTTTTGACCTTTAATTCAAAGGTTTTTCAAGATTTAACCTGTAGAAAAGAAGAATTTAACACTTCCTTTCAAGTGCTTTTTGACATTTTAGGAGGGGATTATAAGAATTGGTTCCTTCTTTCCCCTTTCCATTTTTTTTCTTCAATGTATAAACAAATTCTTGTCAAATTAACTGCAGACACGATTGATTAAACATCATTTCAATTATAGGCCAATGAATTCTGAACTTTTACATAATTAAAAGTTCATTTTACTGCCACCAACACTACCAACCAATCTAACTGGGATTTTTTTTTTAAACATTAAATTATTAGAATTATTATTTGCAGAAGCATATATGCCAATATATACTTACAAAAGCCTTCATCTGGTTCTAATTTCCCAGCAAGCATTCTAATAAATGTGGTTTTTCCAGTCCCATTTTCACCAAGAAGAACCAAAATTTCAGAATCAGAAAACTGACCATTTCGTACAGTTAAATGGAAACTACCCATAGATTTGCTCATTTTTGGATATTCATAATGATTCATACGTTTCACTTCCTCTTCTGTGGCAGATTCTGCCACCTTAAATATAAGAGATTCATCTCGGAAACGCAGATTTTCAGTAGGGACAAAGCCATCCAAGAAAATATTAATGCCTAGAAAATTAAAAATTGTTTCAGAACAATTATCATAAATGCATTCTAAATATGAACAATATTTAGAATTTTGCACAATAAGTGAGAAAATTATAATCGTACCTTCCCGAACAGAGAACGGCATAGTTACAACACCATATGCACCTGGTACACCATAAAGGCAACATATAAAATCTGATAAATAGTCCAATACTGACAGGTCATGCTCCACAACAATAATAAATCTGAAAAATAAAACAATCCAAAAATGTTCACAATGAAAACCCAATGTTCTTATTGATTTATTAGACCCTATGAAGACATTTTCATTGTGTTTGATGCAACATCAGTATAATGTGCAATTTTCTTTCTAAAGGGTAACTACATTCAAGATATTCTCACAAAAATAACAAGCCAAAAAATGAAACAAAATAATACTATTTAGATAGAAGATCATTTCATGTTCATATGAAGGGATGTTCTATTTTTTTTGTTTTGTTTTCAAGTTTATAGCAAATAAAATTATTCTGCACAAGTGTTTTTTATAAACTTCACATTTTGAGAACTAAAGACCATAAGAACATTTTTCCATACAAGCATACGTGCTTGTTTGGAAGAATGTTCTGAAGAAAAGCAATCTTTGCAATGGAACACACATGATACAATACTTACTTGTCAGGATGCATCAAAGAACGAATTGTCAAAGCAGCATTAAGTCGTTGCTTCACATCTAAATAACTAGATGGTTCATCAAACATAAAAATATCCCCATCCTGGATACAGACCATAGCACAAGCAAATCTCTGCAATTCTCCTCCAGATAATGCTTCAATACTTCTATTTCTAATATTTTTAAGATCTATTGCAGAAAAAGAAAAAACCACAAGTGAAACACAAAACTTGACATTACAATTAGTTAGGAAAAATACAACACAAAATGAACATAATGTTTCACATTTTGTTAATCCATTAATACAGTGGAATCTCAAGAACTCAAACCCAATAAATTTTTCAGTGTTTCTCAATAAATTTGTAACTAATTTGAAACACACTTAAATGTCCAAGAAGGGTTAAAACCATTTGAATGAAAAGAGGTAAAAAATCATGTAATTTACCTAGAAGATTGCAAATTTCATCCTGATTTCTACGTTCATCTTTCTTATCTAAAAGCTGTTGGACAGTTCCCTTTACAGCTTTTGGAATTTGATCTACATATTGAGGTTTAATAAGAGCCTTTAGGTCATCTTCCAGAATTTTGGTGAAGTAATTTTGTAACTCAGAACCACGAAAATGGCTCAATATTTCTGTCCAGTCTGGGGGATCCTGAAAAACAAGTTACATCTTTATCTCTTACATTTTTAATATATTATCTCTTATCTCATATCTGAGAAGTTTTTATTTATTTAAAAAAAGGAAAATTTTGAATATTGTTCACTTACAGTGTAGCGGCCTAAGTTGGGTTTTTGTTTGCCAGCAAGAATTTTCAATGCTGTGGACTTCCCAATTCCATTTGTACCCACCAGACCTAAGACTTCACCAGGTCTCGGAATTGGAAGTCTATGTAACTTAAATGAATTCTGAGAATATCTGTGAGTTGTATCTTTCTCCAAATTGCTAGGCAGATTTATTATATTGATGGCTTCAAATGGACATTTCTAAAATAACAGAAACATTACAATACCACTATTTCATTATATTACTAAAAATACACTATACACATTTTTGAAACAAACAAAAGTGCATGATTGCACTAATGTCCTAATTTGAGAGAAAAGGAAATCAAAGAACAGCATCAAATAACAGAAATATTTTGTAAAAAGAGGAAAATATAAAGAAGCTTAGACACTTAATATGAAACAAAAAAATATCAAGGACAACTAGGAAATTTTGCAAGAACCTTCTATAAATATGCTTCTTGTAGAGTGCATTTGAGATTAATTATATGGACAAACTTGCTTTTCAAGAATTAAATTTTCACACAAAACTACACATGAAGCAGGTTATTTTATAACACATTACTAGATGGCATTACTCTATTAAAACTGATTCACAATTTCAATGTTATAAGATATTTTCTGTTTCACATCCATTTCTATAGAAAGGCCAACATCAAATATCAAAAATGAAAATTATGTCTATTTTAATAATGATATTCATGGGTTAGATACCATTTGTTTTGTGGTTTGAAGTGCCTGGGACAAGATAATGGTAAGTTGCTTTTAGGAGAGGAAATTCAACATTCATAGATTAGATGGTCAACAGAAAAAGCATATTGTTTCAATGAAAAACACCGCATTCATTGCTATATTGTATTACACTACATGTTAATGTCTCACACAAAAAAAAACTAGTGGCGCTACAGAATGGCACAGACGTTCCCATATTAGTTTTCTATTTCCTTTGCTGTCAGCTAGCTATTCAAACTAGCCCTAACATGCTTTTACCTGCTGCCATCAAAAGTACATTATTTTGAAATTTCTTAATTCTTCTGATTCCTAGTAGAGCGAAAATGTTATTTTAAGAATATTAAAAAACAGTAAAATCTTGTCCTAAATGGCAATTTTCTTTTGAAAATTTGGAGATGCTTTTCAGAAAATGATGCTTAAGTGCTACAGTGAATTCGAAATTTAAAGCACTGTATTAAAATGCAATTGGCAGAGAGATGCAAGATATTCTCAATGAAATGAACGCATCTGCAACTGTTTTAAAATCTCTATCTCTGTTAAACACGATTTAGTGGTATCAGTTGCACTGTGAAGGAGAGGGGCCTAGAGCACTGAATTGAGCTTTGGGGTTGCTTGTCTTTCAACATGTAGGCCGAAGGGCTATTCCCTCCCTCCCAACTTTCCGCGGGTGGAAAGGCGTACAGGCATGGCTTCTATTGCGCGTCTCCTTACCCCTTGTTGAGAACTGTAACCCCTTTGCTGGACATATGTTGCTCAAGGTCATATGAGGGTATAAGAAAGTCATAGTACTCAGGGCTGTGATGCATTGTGCATTGAGAGTCAGTAAGCAATCCGACTGCAGCCACTAGGCAATGAGGTGGTGTGTAATTACTTTACTTCATTACTAGTTTCAGGATGGATATATCAATATCACAAGTGTCAGAAAATAAACAACTCTGCACTGAAGGGAAACCTCCCTAAACTGGATTTTTTTGGTCCTGATCAATTTTGACTTGGACAAATATTACTACTATGATTTTATATTGCTACTCAACCCTCAACTCAGACTAGCTACTTTATTTATTCTTTAAAGGATTCCTAAAAATAGGAACATGGTTGTAGTCTTATTATTATTCTTATCGGCTCTACAGAAAATAAAATTTATGGCATTTCTTTAGAGGTAGTTCAAATGTGCTAGGATTAGATTTGTTGAGTGATTGTCTGTTGGTACTGAGATGGCAGGAAATGTTTTACATGTAGGTTAGGAATCAACACTTTCTACTTCATGTCTTTGTCTAATAAGAAAATCATTGAGAAGTTATGAACCTGATCTGGGTTGTAATGACAACAAAGAAGAAGATATTAAAAAACTTGTATGATGAAGAATTCTTCACAAAAAATATGAAATGTTTCAAGTTGTACACCATTTGTTAAAAAAGAATTATCAGCAACTAGCTTCCAGAATTCCAGAAACAGATAGCAAAAGCAAAACTCATTTTGTTGAACTGTCTGTAGAACACCATGACCAATGGAAAGTTAACTGGGTTTGTTTTTATTAAATAAGTCAGAGGATCATTCTAGTAGTATTGTTGCACACAACAGAAGAATGTGGAACATTAAAGTTACACAGAAGTGACAGAAAAAGGTAAGTACCCATGACACAAAATTAGAAAATTATATTGCAGATTCCAGAATCGAATGAAATTAAAATTTACAAATACAGCATATTTTTAGTATTCAGAGATACCATCTGGTTGCAAAGCTGGCAGATTCAAAAGGGTGACTGTGAATAATCTACTCTTATCCAAGGGAAAAACATTTAAGTTCTCTCCTTCCATTTCTCCATAATAATAATTGCTTGACAATCAAAATCATCAGAAGAATAGTAAGATCAGGCATAATTAAAATTTCAGAAGTAGAGATGTATGACTGAAAGACACTTGCTGATAAATGGGAAAAAATATGTACAATTTATAATAATATACAATTGAATAGATCACAAAAATTATGCAGTTTCTGAGGAAGTGACAAATCAGGCTAACAAACTAAAAACTCATGCTAAAAAAAACAACTAACTAACTGGAAAACAAAGCAGTAAGATTAAGTGTTTGGAAAGAGCTAGAAGGAGAATAATGTTGACACATAAAAGTTAATAACACAATTGAAAAAACAAACAAATCAGGACATAGTTATTGCATATCACAAGAATGAAAACAACAAAATTTACAAACACAGCACATTTTTAAGAAACATTGAAAGAATAGTTGCAGGAAGATCCAAGAGACTGAATTAATACGAAACAGGTCCCACACATCCATTCCTAAATCATGTAAAAAGACAACTTAGAAATAGACATACCTTCACACAAATACCACAACCAATACATAGTTCTTCTGATATCGCTGCAATCTTATCATTTGGAGTCACTTCAATACATAATTTTCCCATTCTCACAACAGGACATGATTTTTTGCATTCTTGGCGACATCGCTTGGGCTTACATTTATCAGCAGTCACAATTGCTATTCTTGTAAGCTTATCAGTCTCTTCAGTAGCTTTACTTCGAGGCATGGTTTTTTACTTCTAAAACAATACATTAGGGAATCAAAACACTGAAAACTGTCACTCTGAAATACACTATCAAATCTTAATATTACACGGAACATGCAGCATATACATATAATACACGGCAATCTTTAAACGACGGAGTATAAACTTGTTATTCACTTAAGACATTTAACATATGTGACCCACATCCTCATTCCCATAACCACAAACTAACCAACTGACGAGTCTCGCATCTCACGATTTCTTATAGCAATTTCAAAATTCACAGAATTAAACGATATTTTTATAGGACTTATAGAACCTCAAATAACCCCGAGACGGGAGAGTCACATTAATTGGATGGAAATTTAATTGGTACATCAGAGAAAGCACGTTGTTCAGACAACAGCTGTTACAATACGCTCAAAAACTCGTTACTCAATTACTTCATCTTCTAAAGGCAATTCTTTATTTTGTATCATTTTGAAGTTCATAAATAAGTAATCGAACATACTTCATATAAATTCCACACCCATAAATTCACTTCATTCACGCACAGTTACACCATACGCGAACACGCCTGCGCTTCCAGCGCTAAAAGGAGCATTCACGATTTTTCGATAGTAATTGATCGATTGGTACAATCGATAAGTCGATTTGTTGTCGCACTCCTTTTAGAAGGGGGATCTTGCGCATCGTGTCCGACTTCAGCCAATGAGCTTCAGACATCAGTTTGCGTCACAACATTAGCGGGAATTTTAAATACAGTCAGATACCAAATTAATCACCTTGTTACGAAACATTGAAACAGATTTACGAAGCATTATTTTTAAATATTGCATCTTTTATACCTTCATTGTGTTATTTTTGGTTGGTTCCCGTTGAAAATTTGGGATCTTTATACCTTTTCCAAAATGTTTCTCAACCACTGGCGGATCCTTGGAGGGGGGGGTGGACATGGCGGCAATAGACCACCCAAAAGGAATACAGTTTTCGTTCCTTTATTTGGCAAAATTAATTTAAATATTTATTTATATTAGAATTATGTAATTCTTAAAACAATAATATTGTATAGTTTCATATCTACAGTACATAAATAATACACAATATAATAACAAATATGTTTATTATTTAACAAAAATTTACAATGCTCGTCCCCCCCCCCCAATAAAAATTCCGACTGGATCCGCCCCTGTTCTCTCTATGCAACGCAAGCTGGTATTGCCCAGAACGAGCAAAAATCGGTGCAACGGAGGAACTCACCCATGTATTTGCACATGCATGAAGCCATGGTGAAAATACGCTTGTAGCTTGATGCATGCAGGGGGCGGGGGTTCTTGCGCATCGAATCCGACATCAGCCAATGAGCATCAGGCACCAGTTAGCGTCAGAATATTAGCGGAAATTTTAAATGCAGCCAGGTACCAAAACAATCATCACCTTGTTACAATTCATTGAAACAGACATATGAAGCATTTTTTTTTAAAAAAAAATATAGGCACTTTTATTTCAATTACACCGTAATCGCGTTACTTTTCGTTTTGCCACCTTCAAAAAATTTTTCATCACTTCTTGGTCTCCTTGCAACCTAACGGCTTGTAAATGGTCTGGCTTTTCAAACGAAGTGCCCGTGGTCACGTGGTTCATAAAGCAAACTGGCGCAAACGCAAACTGGCACAAAAAATGACTTTAGTGGCGGCTGAGAAGGCAGGGGGACGAAATCGAAATTGACCAGACTAAAAGATAAGGAAACTAACAAGTACGAGAAAGTCTGTGTCATTTTGTAGCTCCACTACATAATAGTGCTACAGTAAATTAGTTAATTATTGTTTCTCTGAATAAAGTTCTTGTTTCCTCAAAGTTTGATGCACGCCAAAACTGTTGTGTATTTATTGGAAGTTTGGATAAGATACGATTTATTGCAAGTTTGAATAAGATTGGCAAGGAAGCAACACAGTGCATTAAGATGTGGCACCAGCTACAAAATTAACCCTAATGGTATTACAGAATGGCACAGACATTATCATATTAATTAGTAATCTTATCTCTCAAGTATGAGTGAGCCAGTAATAAGAATCTCCCCTGGCCGCGCTGCGAACGCTGGACAGGGAAAGTTTGGTAGTGGGGCTCCCACCTCATTGCTCCCAAACTCGCAGGATTTGTGTAAGGTTTTCTCCCTAGACAGATTGCTTGAAGAATGGACAGAAAAAAGAGACCATCCGGAAAAATATAGGAATTTACGACTTTAATGAAAAATTAAGGAATACAGTGAACAATGGAAAAAACACCTGGAAAGAATGGAAGACGACCGTATTCCAAAGCAAGTGCTTCAGTACATCCCTAAAGGAAGAAGAAGCGTTGGTAGACCCAGGGTTAGATCAAGGAGGCGCAACGGACCAACCGGTCTAATGCTTAAGGGAGAAGAAGAAGAAGAGGAAGAAGAAGATCTCTCAAGTATGAGCTAGTTTTTCTGTTTTGCCTCATCCTCTTCGCAGCTGCTGACTGCGCCTGAAAGACGTTTTTTTCTTCTTTTCTTAATTTTCGGTCGTCTAATTATAGAATTTAAATACGATTTTTTATAGCATAAACTACTTTTTACTTTAATTAAGAAAGTGTATTATTAAATGAAATAGAAGTATATTGCTATATATTTTTAAGAATAAAAGAGTAAACTTTAGTCATGTAAGCAAATTTTCACAGAAAAATACGGATCCGTTTTTTAGAAAAGATCGAAAAGATAATTCTCGAAATTTCTTGCCTGTACTTTCACGCAAAATTACGTGAAAAATTCTCAAATTTTCCGAAAAATTGTACATCACCTTATTTAAAAATCTATCTTTAAGAAACAGATTTCACTAAAGAAAACATCTCTATCTTCATATTTCTAGGATGATGCCGAAAAAATTTAGAATTTTTGCAATTTTCCAAAAATCATATATTTCAATGAAAATGAGACCAGCACCAATCTTTAAAACATGCTTCACACTATACAACAACAAAATTTAATAAAAACCTGTGGAACCATTTTTTCCGGGGGCTTGATGTAAAGTACCCCCCAAAATGAAAATATCGGTTTCAAGTTAAAAGGGACGCGACAACAGCAAGATCGATAGGGAAATACCAATTTTGGAGAAAACCAGTTGAATGGTTTAGCCGCTAGAATTGTTCACAGATGGTGGACAGTCGGACGGACGGACAGATTGTCATTCGATTTTTCGGTATCAAGGACCCACAAACCATGGACACGTGCTGGAGAATTTTTTCTAAATATAGCAACAGGATATATCCACTTTTTCGTTGCTAGGTTAACGTAATTAGAGTTTTCTGTCGAAAATTCACCGTTTTTTCGCGCAGCATTACATAACTTTCTCTCTACTGCGTAAGCGGTAGCGTAACATGATCACTGTAGGTTTGTGTTCGCTTATGTTAATGTTAACATTTAGTAGAACGGTTTATATATATCTCTATCATTAACACAAAATGTTCACCAAACTTCCACCTTCTTTCAACAGAATCGACAAAAAGAAGGAAAAAGGAGAAAGACAGAGTCAAAAATCAAGGAAAATATGATCTAAAGTGATGATAGAATTTAGCACTTCAAATTTTTTTTAAATCGCATTTTGAAAACAAAGATAAAGCATTTTATAGCACAATAAAAATAAAGATTTTGCATTTTGTAGCAGTTGTTGAGAAAATTATTATAATTAAAGGACGACCCTTTGAGATACAAAATATTTTGATGATTTTTGGTTTTTTCAATTAAAATCAGTAAATAAGGCAAACTATGTATTTCGACAAATATAAAATCGTAAGAACTAACGCGGGCGCCGTAGGCTTTGGGTCTTCCTCTTCTTCCCTTAACCATCTCCGCACCGCGAACTGAGGAACTTCTTGAGATGATCCCGAGTGCTCAGGCTTTCAGGATCTGTTTTTACTGTCTCGCTACGGAGTATAGAGAAAGTTATGTAAAGGTGCGCGAAAAAAAGGAAATTTTCGGCTGAAAACTCTTATTACAGGGCACTGGGAATGAAAAAGTGGATAAATCAAGTTGCTAAATTTAACAAACATCCTCCGATACGCGATAGACAGAATCCATGTTTTGTGGGTTTTTGATACCGAAAAATCGAATGACGGCAAAACATCTGTCTGTCCGTTCGTCCACCTGTTTGTCCGTCTGTGAACAACGCTAGCGGCTAAACCGTTCAACCGATTTTCTCCAAAATTGATATTCCCCAATCGATCTGACTGTTATCGGGCCCCCTGAATTTGAAACCAATATTTTAATTTTGGAGATACTTTACATAAGACCCTGGGAAATTTTAAAAATTTTCAAAAAAATGGCTCCATCGGGTTTGATATAATTTGATTGGTGAATAGTGTCAAGGGCGTTTAAGAGAATAGGCGGCCTTACACCATTAAGCAGTTCTTAAGCGAGCGCCGGGCAACGAGCCACCCAGGTACACGTTTCAGAAAGCACGTCTAAAGGGAATTTCGGTTTGCATGCATGAGCGCGGTCCACTGCGAGCAAAAGCGTGGCTCGCATTTAAACGTGGAGTTTTGTTGCGAGAGGACATAGTGACCAACCGGGCGGTATTTTGAAATGGCGGATACTCGTTGCTGGAGCCGGGATATGGTGAGGGAGTTTCTTTCCATGTATAGGAAGTGCCCTAGTCTATGGAAGCTTTAAAGTTCTGTGTATACTAATAAAAAATTTAAAAATGAGGGAAACGGGAAGTCTACAAGACAGTTCACCTTTAATTCCTTCTACAGCTGCATGTGATCATATTTTTGTCTGTAACTTTTTACCCGAAACCGTACGTTTTTTCTTCTCCATTTCCTCTTGGTATAGTGTTGTGGCACTAATTCCATGCACTGATATAATTTTCCTTTTACGATAATCGTGAACGGACATTTCTTATTAAGCTAATCGAAAAATAGTAAACTGATTCACTATACACTATATGAACACCACAGGATAACACACAACACGATCAGAACATACATAACCGCACCAACATACAGTACAAGCGGCAGTGAGGAGCGTGGAACGCACGCGAGGACCGTCGGATCTCGGAAATTCCGTGCGCCGCACAAGAGCGCGCTCTAGAACGCCGCTGAGATCTTTATACGGACGATTTTACTCGAATCGTTCCGGAGTGGCGCGCAGAAGCGTGGCAGAAATAAGAACCACACTCCTGCGCACCCAGGTCCTGCCCGCGAACTTGCGCGCGCTCTACCTCGTGGCTACGAACTTCTTAGATGGACGCGCGGCTAAGAATCCCCGTGTAAAGGGCCCTAATGATGCAGGTCTCATTATTATCAAAAACTTCTACTTTTCGAAAATTGTTAAAATTTAAATTTTCAGCGTTTCCTACAACTACATTTTTGAAGGAGATTTTTTTCCCTTAACGAAATACATGTTCCTTAAGGATAGAGTTTGAAATAAGCTCATGTACATTTTTTCAAACATTTGAGTACTTTTCGCATAATTTTGGGTGAAAATGCGGGCGAGAAAGTAGGTACTGTTTTAATGCCACTAGTTTCAATTGTTTTAATTATTTTTTACTATGTTTTGTCAGTTGAATCTTAATTATATATTAATAAACACGGCTACTCTTAAATTACATGCTTTCAAACATCGATCTGTGAGCATCACTAGCGCTTGAAACATTCAGCTGGT